CTGAGGCTTGGATGGGACCCTGAATATCTAGAAATAGTCCATTTCAATATATGGCTAATACTTTAGTTGTTTTGCTGGGTTTTTAAATTTTTTAAGTTATTTTTTTTTATTTTGCAGTTTTAGAGAGGAAAGAGGCACTTAACCACTGCACTAAGAGTTGGGAGGGATTTGCACCAGTGCAGCTTCTCTGCAAAACATGTCTTTATTCAATTGATTCTGTCATGAAGGCAGGAACTTGCATTCGAGTACAGTTGGTACAAGAATTTAATAATTACTGCTTCTGTTTCGATTTTAAATCAAATACAGCGAGTGTTTCTGACTCAGAAAATCATGATTTTTTTAGCAGCTTTATTCTGTCGGCACTTTAGAGCTCACTGGGCAGTCACAAATGTGCGAGAGCCATGGTGGTTTCCAGCCGTGTGTCTCCTTCTGTACAGGACCAAAATTGTGGCATTTTGCCTCAAGGGCTGTGCCATCCACATCAGAGCGAGGGGGAATGTGGTGTGAGACAGAGCCCCAGGCTCTTGCCTGGACTGTACATGGACATCAGTTTCATGGCAGCTGGCAAAGATGAGGTCACTTCCCATTGCCCCTGAGAAATAAAATAAAAGAGCAGTTCTGCACTTTCTTAGGGTGCTGTGCTCAACAGGAGGAAAGCAGGAGACATGGTATTGATTTGTCAGCGTGCAGGTGGCTCTGGCATGTTCTCTGCACCATTAGAACGTGAGCAGATGCTTCATAACTGTAATAGAAAATCAAGAATGCTTCTCCACATCGCTGACTTCCCCCAGTGTTTTGGCAAAGATCATTGGCCCAAGCAGATGTGAAAGAGGGAGAGTGCAGTATGAAGTGTGTCAGCATTGTGAATATTTAAAATATGGTCCACTGTGTGGCAGAAGTACCGATACTGAAGCTTCTGCTTACCTGGATTTTGTATCCACCCGTGACTTTGCAGCCAGTGTGTACGAGCGTGGTACCCAGTTCCATGTGGTTAGTAAGTGTGGGTTGTATGAAACCATACAGCACAGGGGGCTTTCATGCTGGGGCTTTGCTCACTGCTTTCCCCAGTACTCACTGTGTCCCTGTCTCTCTTCGGGGTGTACTGTCATTTTCACTCTTAGCTGTCTGTGGCTTCTCTGTCCACTTGCTTTTGTGTCTCAGAGTGGGGGTCTTCAAGGATGCTGTAGCACAGCAGGTGTATTCCAAAAGATGATTGACTGGTGTGTGCAAGTACCAGCTCCAACAGCCATCCCAGTAGGATTAGATGGTGAAATTGCTTCAAGACCCTCTGGAGATCCTTGGGGTTATGAAGCAACATAGTAGGGTAAAGGAGGAGGAGGAGGTAAAATTTCCTCTCCTCTATCCAGCAAGCCCAGAGGAGCTGTGGAAGTGCCTTGCCCCTTCTCCCCTCCCCTCTGTACTGGAAGCAGGGCTGGAGGCAGCAGCAAACGAGTGGACACTTACACAGTTTTCAGCTTTCCACATGGGTTTCGTTACTCTGTCGTATGTCATGAATAAGATGATTTACGCAAGACATTTTACTTGCCAGAGTGTTCTTTGCTGTATTTCGATGTAATAATGCTGCACTATTGCATTATTTGGAAGTATTTTTTATGCAAATGCCTTACGAAGAGGAAAAAACCCCACGTAGTCTTGATTTTTACATCATTTATTCCTTCACTACTTTGAAAATTATGTCTTGTTATAAAATCATTTCCACTAACTAGTGTTGCATCACCAGTACCCAACCATGAATATGCGTTCCTAGGAAGGAGAGGGTGACAGAAACAAACACCTACTCTAATGTGTCATTAGAAATCAAACAGACCTAAAACTTGCTTCTGCTTGCCAATGCTCAGATCTTCTGAAAGTCTGTCTCCGGCAGCGAGACCAGGGATGGATCCAGATTACAGAAGCTGTGTGCTTGCATGCAGGCAAAATATCAGTGAACAATTTCAGAGTATAGGTTTGCATTGTGCCCACAAAGCTGTTTGTTTATGTACTGGATTAAAATCTTCTTTTTCCACCTCTATTTGCTCAAACAAAGTGAGTACTTAGATCAGTTAAACAGAGTTCTCCATTCATTCCCACTGGCTGTATCCTTTCTGTGTTACATCCGCTTCTGTACAAACTCGCTCTTTGTTTTGTTTTGAGGTGCTTCTTCAGGCTCTATCAGGGAACAAGTGGCATCTATAATATCTTCAAAAGTGTGGTGGATAAAATAGCAGTAATCTGATACTGACACATAAAGGTCACCGAAAGGCACCACTGAAACACCCCCCCGCCCCCGAGCAGGATGGGAGTCGCTGCCTGCGGAGGGGGCCAGCGTTTGTCTTTCAGTACTGAAGGGGTTTTTTTTTTCCTCTTTGAAATGTCTCATTTTGGTAAGTTGAAGTAGTTCCTCTGCTTGGTTGAATGGCAGTGGAAGCTCTGTGTAGGTGTTAAGCGTGTTACGCGTAGCGTCGTGTTAGCGGAGTGACCTTTTAAGTTCCCCGTTTACAGTCAGCACCAGTCTTCATGGTTATTGACAGCACGAGGCTTTGACATCCTGAGCATCATTTATAGTTTGATATTGTCTTGGTCACTCCGTCATTTTGTTTGGACACAGTACCAGGGTATCATGTCCTACATAGTTTGTCTTGTCTTGTGCAAGTTCCCTGGAAAGAAAAGAGATTTGCACTTGGATTTAAAAAATAAATACAAATCTCGGTAGGGCTCTTTCCGTTGACTTGGCCATGGCCTCTAGGCTCTCACAGAGAAACTTTAAAAAACCCTGCTGGGGGTTTAAGCCATGTGACTCCTGTTGATATTATAATGAGATTTACAGTGCTTAAACCCCACGGGGGACTGACTCCTTACTTGGCGTCACACGGCGTTCCTGCAGCCGTCCCGGGGTGGGTAACGCGCGGGGGAAATTCAAACGCTGTTTTTCTTTTTTTTTTGTCTGGGTTCTGCCAAACACCCTGAAACCATAACTCTCACATGTAGTCTTCGTGGAATTTAATGGAGTGTTAACATGAAAGCCTGCTTTCTCACCCTTTGCTGTATCCAGGTATGGAAGCAGATGATAAAACCCATTATCTTCTGATTTTTTCTGATGTGTACAGAGGATGTTTGACCATATGCCTGTCTGGCTTGGGTGGATGGTGTTCCTTCAGCCATCCTCCCTCTTTCTCAGTTGAGGAAACGCGTGGTGTAGCATTTTTCTAATTTCCTTGCAAGGAATGCATCAGTCCCTTTGTTCTTTTAAAAACTTTACAGAGATTCTCCACACTTGAACATTTTTTAAAAGACTGGTGAGTTAAACCAGTGTAATGTTCCTGTACAGGAAAAGGCCTTTGTAAAGCTCTTCACCTACAGTTGTTTTTTTAGGAAATTAACTTGCACATACATATATTTATGCTTGAAGAACTTTTTGTAAACAGCCAAAAATAGGATATTAACGAAATAATAAATGAGGTTCATATAAAACTCTTAATGCCTTTTCTGGTCGGTACTTTTTAGGTTTTGGGGGGTTTTTTAATTAAAATAATTTTTGAAACCATCTTCAATAATCTTCAGATTCTCATTGGGCCTAAAGTGAGAAGAGTTACAGAATCTGGGCAAGAATTTCTCTTTCAACTTGTTTGCACTTGGGATGACATCTCTGGAGGGTTCAGTGTTCTTGCTGCCCAGTGCATCAGAAATAATGTAAGAACACAATTTTGATACAGTGCACAGGCAGATAAAATTACAAAGGAAGAATAAACAGCATTTCCACATGTGTGTAAAGGTAAAATGGCAAGAAGTAGGCGTTTATCCATAACGTTACCTATGATCCAGGATAAAACGAGTCATAAAAGCCACACCTAGATGCTGGTATGTGTTCATATCCTTTGTGTATGTTTGAAGTTCATAATACAGCACAGACATACTGTAGCAGAAAGATTTGATATGAAAAATAGATATGTGTTTGAGCATAAAATAGAGACTTCAATATTATTTTGACATTTTAGTTTTAAAGTCATCTAAGGTTATGGAAATTGTTGCAGAAAATAATTCCTTTCCTTAAGAAGTTTCCATGCAGAAGTTGAATAAAGAAGATATTTTAGAATATGGTTCATCAGTTAGTGCAACAGATACATTTCCCTGAGCACCACATGGCCCGGATCAAAGCGTCTCATGACTTGGATCAGTGCAGCCAAATCATTACGTATTGATTGGAATCCCGCTGAAGGATTAACCCCTTAGTGCTCATATGAATTTTTTTCTTTAACCCTGGGTTCAGTAGTTGGGAGGCTCTGTGACGTTCCTGCCAAATCGTAGCAAGGTTAATAGCCCCCAGTAACCCCTTGTACTGAGGAACCCTTTGACTGCATGGTTCCTGGGTTTTATGGCGAATTTTGCATTTGAAAGTACATCTTGTGTCTTTCTTGGGATAGAAAGGGACTGTACTTGTGCAGTGAAACAGCCTGTAAGAGAGGGAAATAAAAACCAGCCAGAAAAAATCACCAATCCAGTAAATAAATAACATGGTGGGAAAGCCAAGGCTGCAAACTTGATGCTTTTCCTCTTCCTTTAATGATGAGGAAAGCCTCAGGTCCAGCTGTACTGTGCTGTAAGGATACAGTGCTGTATGGAGGTGACTTCTCTTCCTGATGAAGTTGAATTGTAAAAATGCAATGTTCATAAATTTCTTAGCAAAATATCAAGCAGGATATTAAGCAGGTCTGTCAAATGATTTCTCCCCCGTCCGTGTTAATTTAAATTCTTTACAAAGCTTTTAATTAATGAATGAAATGTAGGAGGATAGCTAAGTAAGAATGACACATGTTTCGCACTGCAAATGGTATTTAATTCTGTTTGGGAAAACTATGGGCAGAGTCAGGCAGGTACCGTGAGATGTCAGGGGTGTTTCAGGATCTGTTGTTTTGCTGCTCTTTGAGAGTCTTTGTGAAGATGAATTGTGACGGTACCTTCAGTTACACCACTTTTTCTCTTTTCTCTTTCTCTCCCCCCAGTTTATCCCACGAGGAGCACTCACACAGCCATCCTCTCTACGGACATGGCGTATGCAAGTGGCCGGGCTGTGAAGCAGTATGTGAAGACTTCCAGTCGTTTCTAAAGTAAGGATGGTTTTATTGGCACTTCCATTGTACAGAAAGCATGCCCTGAAATTTTGTGTGCTGTCACTCACCCTGGGCCTGATGCAAAGCCCATTGAAGTCAACAGAGAGCTCCTTTTCACTTCAGTGGCTTTTGGATCAGGCTCAAGAACGTTTTAACAGGGGATAGTAAATTAGCCCCATGGGGAAGTTATGGTCTTGCTCAGTGTGTTACTATAAAATGGTGTTTGCAGTTCCGCAGCTTTTTTTTTCTTTTTTTTTTTTTCTAAATAACTTTTAAGTTGCAGTATCGATCATGTAAACAATACAACTTTGATTTAACCTTGATTTCACTTTAATTTAGAAGTCTAGTCTTAAATTAACTCCATAAATGAACAGAGGATTGCAGAACATCACGTGAAATTTAATTTATGTCAAATAAGTAACTAATGAACAAAGTCTACACTACTAAAAATAAACTATAATTATATTAATTGGGCCCCTGCAGTTTGCTGCAGACCTTTTCCTTGCTGCCAAAGAACACAGTTTTACACGTTGCATAAACAGTGCGTTATGGACTAGGCCATGGCAGTGCATGCATCCCAATGTGGGGAAGGACCCCAGAGCTCTAATAGCTTACACATGGCTGCTCCACAGCTAAACCATCAGCTTCAGCCCTCCAAGCTGGAGCAGAAACTATTCCCACCACAGAAGAGTTCTCTGTCTGGGTAGGACACCAGGTAAACACACGTTTTGGGTGCAACCAGGTTCTTGAAGGTTTGGTCACCGATTTTGATTCTCAAGTACTGTGGCTGGTCAGTTGTGAGATGACCAAAGACCAACCACCCAGGCAGTGTTTATGATTTAAATTCACAAAGGGACAAATCCTGCTCCCGTTTAGAGCAGTCATCTCAGGGAATCAGTCCACATAAACATATGGGATTCTTCAGGATGAGTAAGTAGACTTAGTCCCAAAAGGTTCATCTGTACCTGTCCTTTCTGGGGTGGTACCCTGGATTTTTATGTGAGGGAGGGAGGGGTGATAGCAAGCAGAGGATGTTTGTTGGGTGGTGTTAGATCATACAGATAGGGCTTTGCTCTCAGAACAGAATGGGCCGGTTCTGGTTCCAGTGGCAAAACCCTCCTTAGTTGGGGCTGATTTAAACATATGTTACAGCTAAGGAAGGGTTCAGTGAGGAGAAGGTTCTCCTTACAAGAGGGTTACAAATAAGAAGGTGCTAGTCATAGATTTCTGTGAAGGGTGGCCTCTTTTCTTATAATTCATCCTGTTGTTCACTTAAGTGAAATAAATGCTAATCTTGCCATACTTGCCAGCTCATTCATATTCATATGCCATACTATAGCATTTAGACCTTTAAAACAATTCTCATTTTTATTGCTGTTAGTGCAAGGGAAAGGTGCAGTGGTAGCCTGAGATATCACAATAACGTGTGATCACATCTGGTCAGATTAGGCCTCCTTTGCTGCCTGTGCTAGTCCTGTGTTCCAGATTAGAGCTGTTGTTTCAGCAGGATTACAAAGCAATGGGCTGTGTGACATGGGCCATGCATAGAAAACACAGCCCTTAAGTCACAGAACATGGGTGGAAGCAAGACTGGTTCTTATATGGTGTTTTGGAGATGTTTCAGTAAGTAGGCCCAGTCCACCAGTTCACCTGGAGGAGATACTTGGAGGAATCAATACTTAGGAATAACCTGGAAACTCTTACTGGCCCAGGCTGGACCTTGGCTCCGTCAGTTCTAGTTCTTGTGTCTCTCACTTATCATCAGTCTTTTCTTCCCCACCAAAACCATACAACAGAAATATTCTGTGTGAGTTTCTTGAACCCATTGGCTCATGTAAATTTTCTCATTATCCAAATTCTACAGTGTCCAGACAAAGTCTTACTGTTCCAAGTGACATTTAACCCAGAACGAATGCAGAAATGAGTGTCCATGAGCAGTGTACTGGCACTGCTGGGAAGTGAGTGTTGCTTCCTAAAATGAAATGTTGCTTCCTAAATGGTAGCCTTCCATGTCTCCTGTGGAGAGGCCTTAAATTAATGTTGCCATTTATCAGAATTTATTACTCAATGAAAAGCTAATAGGTAGATGCTTGAAGGTTCTTCCTGATACTTGTATAAACCGTGAAGCTCTTTTGACGGTCCCCTCAAGAGAAAAGCTCTTGTTTACCAAGTGAAATACAGCCCGTGTATCAATTGAGCATTGCTTAATTTCACTTACCTTGGTGAAAAGGCAGAGAGAAGTTGTATGTGGAATGAAAGCCCTGTATGCCAATAAAATGATTCTTCAGTTAAAGGAGAAAAAAGGACTCGCAGGTCTAAAACATGGTTCATTTCTTTTCCTCCTGAGGAAGAAATATCATAACTGTTGGTAAATCAAAACCAGAGATTTGACACTTTTCTGTGATCGTTCTGTAGTGTTTGTTCCCAAGGTGAGGTACACCACAGGGCCCTTGATTTCAAAGATAAACACTGTACAAATAACGATCCTAGTTGTCTTTCACTCACAGCCAACAGGAGGATGCTTATCAGAACCAGCAGATACACAGGCTATTGTGTGCATTTATTTCCCTATTTCTTTTTGAAATAAGTTGCAGTTTTAGCATCGTTGTGTTCTGGGTTTGTTTTTTTTTTTTAATCCATCAGCCATTGGTTATCATGTGATGTGGTATCAGTTAGAGCTAACTGATAGCAGCAGGGGCTGCTGCTCTGCCTAATGAAACAGCAGCACCCTGCATGCTCCAGAATACTCCCTGAGCCTAAAAACAAAAACAAGTCCAGTCTCACGGCGCTGACCCCGTGGCCTCTGCCAAGCTGCAGGGAGCAAGGTGAGGGCTGGAGGGTGCACACGTGTCTGGAGTGTTAACCAGGGCCTGTCTCGCAGGCAGCAGCGAAAGGAGCAATTAGTAGCACAGAGCGACTTTCCTTCAAAATTGACTATATCCTTGATTTCATTTGCATGTGTTTAAAGACCGTTGCAGATAGAAATAGATACCCCTTATACAGCAAGTTGTTCAGGAAATCCCTGCTGGAGGGAGGGTGGTTTATTCAGCAGAGTATCCAGGGCAAAAAATGAAGGAGAAGGCTGATTAGGATTTCATCCCTCCACACTTTTAATTTTTATTTTTTAATTCAGTTGTGGGTTAGATGCGCTTAATCCTGACTGTACCGTTTTTAAATCAAATATATTCTTTAAAAGAAGGACGCAGACCTTTGGAGAGATCTGGCAGTTCTGTGTTGCAGTGATGCTGGTAATCTGCTTCATGTGCATTTAACTTTGATGAAACGAAGGGGAGTTTATGTGAAAGAAACTACTAAGTGCACTCTGTAATGTTTTCACAAGTGTTTTTATCATGGTAACATCTTGTTTACTTTAGTTGCCTGCCTAAAACTACTTGGAACATGTTAAGAAAACATTTCGAGAAAGCTTCTACAAAGAGGCTTTTGTTTAGCAGCAACTGTGAGACTGCTCAGCTCACAAAGGTGTTAACTTTCAACCCCTTAAGCACTTCCACATGAAATTCCAGCAACTATGTTTGTGGTTTTGGAAAAACAAAGTGTATATTAAAGAAACCAGGTATATGCTAATACATGTTGAAGTAGGCCGGAAATCGTAAATTGTTTCAAAGGCATTAATTGCGCTCGTTTGCGTGGCAGAGAGTTCTGCAGTGAAATCATCCGCGCGGCGCAGACCTTTTAATCAGATGGGGAGTGAGGGCAGGGGAAAGGCTGGGCTGGAGGTGGGTTTTTTAGAATTTTTTTTAAAGTCATGGCAGGGCCGGCTGTGGAGCGGCGATGGGGAGGTTGATGGGGAGGGGGCTGATGCTGGGGATGCTGCGCGGGGATGCAGCGCCGGTCCTGTCCCGTGCGGGGGGACCCGCTCGCCCCCCGGGGATGCTCCTCACAACCAGCTGATTCTCCGAGCCCGCCGCGTATTGGGAAGTTGCCGTTCGAATGTCGGCGTTCCCGTTTCTTTTACAGCCTCCCGATTAACCCCCGTGGCAGGGCAGGGGGGTTCGGGACCCCGGCGGCGGCGGCGGAGGCCGGGGTGGCCCAAATCCCACAGTGCCCTCTAGTGCTCCCGGGAATGCTGCTGGCGGGAGAGGCTCCGGAGAGCATTCCCGGGAGCAGCATCCCCGGGAGACCCCCCGGTCCCTCCCCTCCCGAGCTGGGGAAGCAGCAGGCCAGCTCGAGCTAACCCTCTGATATTTTTATTTCATCATTTCAAAATTATTTATTTAATTGTTTTAATTTTATTTTTGTTTATTATTATTTTAATTTTTCTTTATCCTGTTATTTTAATTTTATTATGTGTTTTGTTATGTGTTTTATTGTGTATTCTTTAATTGCCATTATTCTATTTTTATTTACTTTCTTTAACTTATTTCTGTTTGATTTTCATACATACTTTGCACACACACACACATATATATATATGAAATACTTCTTCTCATGGCTTACATGTAGTGAGGCCCATTGCCTTGCATTATCCCCTTTTTTCTCTCTTAAAGGTGCACTTAGTTTATGTTTCCCATTATAATTTCCGGTGTGTAATCAGAAAGCGTTCCTTAAGAGACAAGGATCATCTTTGTTTCATACTTTTATTGACACTGTCTACCGTATTACTGCGATGTCTAAATGGTAAAATTTATTATTAGCAATAGTGTCACAAAAGTCTGAGACAGCGATTTTCCTTTCAATAAAAGTAGTTAAAAACCTTTTAGAAAATCCATAATTTTGATTGCTGGTACTTCATAAATGTATAACTGGTACTTTTTAGCTGTCTCTTTAGGGAAAAATGAGTTTTATCACCTGCAGTACCTGGGTTAATGAAATTGTGTGTTGGAATTTAGCCAGAATGAAAGATGAGATCATTCGGTGGCACTAATATTGGC